TAATATCAATGTTGGTGACACAGGAAGTTGTCTGCACACATTACATCCATATGGGAATCGAACTCGGTCCTTCAGTGTAATGAATGAACCACTACCCTACGTAACCGCCCGCTTGGATGGTGTGATCGGACCAAGGATCCAATGTAGGCTTCGAACCAACGATAATAGGATTATGGTGCACCGCTGCAATTCCCGTGCCACAGGGTCATGTGTTCCAGTTATACATGAAAGAAATGCTGAGATTAAACCGACTGAGATAAACAAGAACTTGAACCCTTTCATCAAGACTGGGCTGAGGATAAAATATTTAGGAGAGTAATTACCTGCAGTCGGATGTAACAACCTCAACCTACTGGCCCTCCTACATAGGAACTAGTTTCATTATTGAAATACGAGACTTTCAAAGCCAGCAGATACATAAATCACGATTCCTGTAGCTCCCGGAAGGTTCACGTGGCTAAAGATGATGCCCGGTGCAATGTCCTATGTTTTGAAGTCTCATGAGATTCCCTAACAGCTGACGTGTCTGTATATGTGTGACGTGTACCACCTGTGGGGCAGGTTAAGCTGAACATTTTGTTTATACCTGAAACATCTCCTTTATGAAGAATCCATGCATCACATGCTCATAACATAGTCGGCGTCGTACAATCGACTCAGCTGGCAGAAATTTCCTATGAATAGGAGTTTGCAGCTTTTTCTACATAAAACACAATGCAGTTATAATAACAGTGAATTGGTTTCTGAACTAAGTCCCCAACAGTACCACCTTTGTTCATTAATGATGAACCAATTGAGACAGTCACTGAGTACAAGTACCTTGGAACGTTTATTGATAGCAGGTTAACGTGGAACACCAACACAGATGCCCTGTATAGTGAATGTCAACAACGCCTCCACCTAATGCGCAAACTGCGATGTTTTAATGTTTCCCAATCTGTTATGATGTTGTTTTATACCACTTCTATTCACAGTATACTCACGTTTTCTTTTCAGTGCTGGTTCGAGTCTCTTTTAGACAAAAATAAATACAAACTTAACAAAACTGTAAATCAGCTCGTATAATAGCTCGTATCGAACCCGGGTCTTCGGCGTGACGAGCGAAAGCTTTAACCACTAGGCTACCCCACCGCCCCTATAACAGAGAGAGACCCGTGAAGATCCGGGTTAGAATTGTTTTTAAGTAACCCATGCTTGTCTTAAGAGGTGACTTACGGGATCGGGTGGTCAGGTACGCTGACTTGGCTGACACATGTCATCGTATCCTAATTGCGTAGATTGATGCTCATGCTGTTGATCACTGGATTGTCTGGTCCAGACTCTATTATTTACAGACCGCCACCATATAGCTGGGATATTGCTGAGTGCGGCGTAAAGCTCAACCCACTCACTCATTATGAAAAGAGAGAAACAATAGAGAATGGTTTTCATGCGTTGGCCCTTCCAGGTCTACCAGGAATATTAAGTGACACTGTTATATGAGCAGGTTGATTGAATACCTAACACACACACACCCCCAATACCAGGGAACACGCCAAGTTACCCACTCCTGTGATTTTTAAACCCGGTTCGTAGGCTTAAGAAGCCCTTACTGTAACCCTGCGGCTGTAGCACCGTCCTATACATGTTGAAGGTGGCTTCATGTTAAACCATTCTCCTGTTGGGGTGTAGGTTTATGAAATGCTATTACATGTACCAAAGACTTGTTTGCAGTAATTTCAACATGTATTGTGTTATGCAGCAGTATGATTCAGCGTGAAACAGTGTTGTAATTCCATTATATTGCTTCTGGTGAGATTCAGAATCCTGCTTGGCAAAGGATTATCTTGAAGCTATTTTCATGTATGTAAAGGGACAAGCACACGCCGCAGCCATCTCGCATTACATCAAGTCCAGGGGGCTGTGTGGAGACCATCCTTTCACCCTGGTATACATTAATATCATTATAGTTAATGCTACATTTGGTAATGTACTGTCATTGAATTTGTATTTCCACTCTCTTGCGTATTGTGATTACTTTCCAGTTATTTGTAAATTCTGTAGAGCCAGTTAAGTGTACAGTTGCTAATTGTGATATTGTGTCTTGTACACCAAATAGCTATTTCTATCTAACCTTCTAAGTATAATCAAGACTGGGTATTCAAATTCTATTAGATTGAATACTTCTGTGTCTGTCAGTATTCTGAAAGCCAACAGAACAGACTAATCCAGAATGGGATAGTGCCTTCCAGAAGGTATAAAGCTATATAATTGAGCAAGTACACATCTAACCTTCCAGAAGGTACAAGCATTTCTAACCTTCCAGAAGGTATAAAGCTATATAATTGAGCAAGTACACATCTAACCTTCCAGAAGGTACAAGCATAGAAGTGGTTCACCTTCTAACCTTCCAGAAGGTATAAAGCTATATAATTGAGCAAGTACACATCTAACCTTCCAGAAGGTATAAAGCAAGTACACATCTAACCTTCAGAAGGTATAAAGCTATATAATGAGCAAGTACACATCTAACCTTCCAGAAGGTATAAAGCATATATAACCTTCCAGAAGGTATAAAGCGATAGAAGTGGTTCAAGTACACGCATATATAACCTTCCAGAAGGTATAAAGCTATATAAGTGGTTCAAGTACACATCTAACCTTCCAGAAGGTATAAAGCTATATAATTGAGCAAGTACACATCTAACCTTCCCGGTATAAGTCTATAGAAGTGGGACAGGTATATATATGATCTCACAGTACATCACGACCAGCAGTCTATGAAGATCGGTATTGTCCACCTGGATACCCTGCCTAGGAATGTTTTGGAAGCTTGGTCACCGTCGTTGTAAGGTCCAATCAGTTTGCCATTACAGGTGTTGTTGTTTTTTCAAATATCATACTGCCGCTGTAAGTGCCTGCACTGCCCCTGTTGTACTGCCACTGAATTCCAGTAAGTTGCATTGATTTGTGAGCATGGTTAAATTTAGAATATCATTGTTAACTGCATGCAACTTTTTTCTGTGTGTCGGTTCCCACCATCGTCCCATTTCTGGATAACTGATAATTTCAAGTTAACACACGTAACAGTTTAAAGACTCTTTGTATGGCGAGTTTTGGGGCTTACCTTCCCATACACGAAACCCAATGAACCCCGGATCACCTCAACATGCCCCAATACTCACACACAGCGTCCCGTCACGGTATTTGTGTTGACATTACCTGTTATGTAGGCTACTGACGTAAATGAATGCAAGTGGTATTCGTACTGCGTAATTACAAGGCGTCAGTCTGATGAATGCATTGTCGTCAATGACTTGAACACACTAGAGCTCGACTCGTCCTACTAACACACATACCGACCACAATGCACATTGATATGCACTCTCTAGGTCTCAGGTACTTGATTCTCTGCCACATTCAAACACATGTATAAACTCATACCAATCTGTTCATACTGTGTGGGGTCTGGCGTAAGAAACATGCTCTTGTTGAAGGACTACTCCCCCACGCTCATATATCCTTGTGCAGTTCAGCAAGACGTGTATGTATTGCGCGTCTCTATTCGGGTAGTGTGCTATAAAACGGGGAGACTGAAATAAGTTCATACCAAGCATGAGAACAAAGAAAAGGTGACTACAAATGACCTATGAAGGACGTTTATGTGAGTGATACCCAACACCACGCACACCCGATAGTTTTCACGAGTCGCATGTAGAAGCGTCAGACAAGTACATAAGGTGTCAGTTCTAAATTAAACACTTCAAGCTGGGCCGTTATTTGTGTCAGTCATATTGATTTTTTTTCATGCAGTTGGAACGTCGGCGGGCTGTTGGTAAGGTGGAAGCCGCTAGCGTGGCCAATACGATCAATGTTTCATAGCCTGTTACTGGGAGTCTGTAGGACTGGTACACAACAAACGTTAACAACTGGCTGTTCAGGGCGTCCCAAAACAACTACAACAACTACTGATGTGAAACCAGGCTTTACGAACGGTGACGGCAATTACGCTAACGCTGTACACGGCCTCATGACAGAGGCCGCTGACCACGTTGGCTGAACTTGTGTGCTCCTTTAAGTTGCCACTGGGAGGCACATACGCAGTATGCTTCGTGGACTGAATCAGAGTTGAAAAATCGTGTCTGAAGTACCCACTACCGATTAGAAAATGTTAATTGTGAAATCTTATCCATATCGTTGGCTGTCATAGCAATAACTCCACATGTCACTACTGGTTATAATGTGTTATTATCACCATATAACTAAAATTCCAGGATCAAATATTTTCTTATACTTTGGGGAAGTTTAAGTTACTTCCGGGTATCCATTACTTTTTTAAAGAGTATATTTGTTGTTAAATTGATCGTGAAAAGTTCAAATGTCATGGCGACCAGATTTACAGGTGGTATCAGGAGATTAAGCAAAGGAATTTTCTAAGACCTGGCAACGGATTCAGCCGGGGACACAACATGACGTGCGACCGAGCTAAGCGAATGATACCGTGACCATGCATATGTGAGCACATGGGAATATGTTTCAGTAAAACACGAGTTTGTGACAGTTTTTCTTCTGACCAAGAGTCAGCTGACTCATGTTGAAGCCAAGGATATGTCTGTAAAGTGATCAGTGTGTGGGCATATCGCGTGCAGGCGGAGATCCATTCATCTTGTTCAGTCTGTTCCGTTTACCGTTTGAAATATATAGGGAATATAAACATATAAACAGAGAAAGGATACAACAAGATACAAAATCCATGATCCTCCACGCCAGAAATCCTATATAATCTCTGAATAAAATAACATATTTCGTGATTCCTTAAATTTATCAAATATTTAAAAAGTACCTCCACCCCCTGAAAAAAGGAGAGAGGTTGGACATATGAGGCCACTTTTAGCCAGTGATGAGATTGCAAGAGGTTTTGTTCAGCTTAGTTCAACAAGTACAGGGACATACATGAAATAATATCCACTAATCAATTCATGAATCGAGATGAACTATACAAGACAAAAACCAGTACTTACCGAAAGGCTTGAACATGAAGACTGGACCAATGTACGGCAAGGCGTACACTCCACTAGGGCCGGGGACATCTTTAAGGGATTTAGTTTTATCAGTTTGAATGTTCACAGGGGGCGCTGTTGCCACGTGCGCCGCACGTGCAGTGTTCAACTTTGAACTTATGAAACTTGATATGTGTCTTTTCATGGTGTTCTGCAAAAGGCAAAATCAATATTGATCAGAAAATATATAACGTGGTTGAGAAAATGTGAAATGTTAGCACAGATGGTAAAGGTATCACCAGCTTCAAGGATGACTTGTCATTCGGCAGAGACGTTTACCAGAAGCATGGTTATGGCACCAACAGGCCAAAAATATACCATCAGCAAAACTATCAGTACATCCTGGGTGTAAGCAGAGACCATATAATAGATGGTCTCTGGTGTAAGTCATTCCTAAACACAAAGGGCATGGCTTACTTGCTGGTCGCAGCGTCCTATCTCGCTGTACAGGGTTGCGTCCCTTTGTGGTGTCAGATAGTTTCCTACCCAAGAGTTGCTAGGCGGTGCAAGTCCTTAAGTAACAACATGCAATGCTCAACCAAAAAGCAGCAGCAGCACCTTCAAGGCTACAAAGACTGAATAGGTTTAGTGTTGAGTGATCGACTGTTAGAGCAATACAAAAACATTGCATCAACTTCGGTTTCACAATATTTGGTACATAAGTATCAATATTGTGCACATTTTATTGGACCAGTTATTCTCTTGCCCACACAGTGTCGCATATGATGCTCAATAGTTTGAACACTTGACACTGTGAAACACTCTGCGAAAATAACGCCTAGTGGCCTTCCGTTTCGAAAATGTCCCTGATGAACAGATGCTCTTGTTTTCAATAACCCGATGTAATGTGCTAAAAGGAACTGTCAATCCATTGTCACGGGAAACACGTGACCGCTCGGCGTCAACAGCCCTTAGTCGTGGATGTACATAATATGACGTGGTTAAACATGTAATGAGTCCAGAGACAAATCTCCACCGATTGAAAGTACATATTGGTAGTATTTGACCCCCTTCGTGCTGTGTATGAGTGTGTGTGTGTGTGTGTGTGTGTGTGTGTGTGTGTGTGTGTGTGTGTGTGAGAGAGAGAGAGAGAGAGAGAGAGAGAGAGAGAGAGAGAGAGAGAGAGAGAGAGAAGAGAAGGAAGGAGAGGATCATGTGGTCAGTATCTGTGACTTGCTGTTTGTCAAGGCTCGTTGACATACAGATTGCCGTCAAATGACAAGAATGTTGTGTTATACAACACAGGTGCAAATAAATCTTAGTCAAGAAGAACATATTGTCATATATTGTAACCAGTACACCATTTGGTGTAACTAGAGAATGGAGGATTGTGTACCATGCATTATAATATCATATCTCTAATTTGGGAAGAAATCCGACAACTGCTCAACACATCCTCCAAAATGAAAAAATCCAAACCCAACAACTTGGAACAACGACCAAAAAAGAGAGAGAAGAAAATTTAAGATAAAACAAAACACACGCCTGTGTTCAAGCCTGTGTTAACTAACCACGAATCTGGATCATTCTGGGCCTCAAACCCAATATCATAGGCTTCTGGCACGCTCGAAGATCTGCAAAAACGTGGTATCGTTGACTCCTGATCCAGGCGTGAGAGCCTGTGACACAGCATGAACCACTGTCACCCTGCTTAATCATTTAATCATCTTTTCAGACGGTTTGTGTGATCCAGAGGAAATCTGTTCTGAGCTGATATCACCACACACACAAAGTGAACAAGGAATGATATCTCAAGCTAATACATACGTTTCCATGCAGCCGACGGGAAAACGAGATCACACCAAACTATCGTGAACTTTCACGAATAATATTTTCAGACCGTTGAACCAGTTCACTTCTGACATTTCAAGGGATGCTTGCTATGACAGGTGATCGCAGCGGTATGAATGTTTTACCATTGGAAATGTTTTGTGCACTTTTAGGATTTTTTTCGAACTAATGGCAACAGAATGAGTAACCTTCGTTCCCGACGGAAAGTAAAACAGGAACTAGCGTAAGTCATGGGAGTATTTTACGTTACATGTTCAGTACGTATTAATAATCACCTTTTTGTGGACCAGCTATAATGTACAGTTAAAAGAATTTGGTTAAAACTGGGACAAAAACACTTGATAATTGTTAGATTTAAGAAGGTGCAGCTGTGACCCTGGCTTGATTGTCAGTTTGATCTCATACCTACCTACACCCGACTAAAATAAGGATCGATGTCTTTGACTGAAGTGATTGTGTCGTACCCGTGGACAGTCACTCATACTGCCAGTCATACTCGATGGAATAATTATGACTGTCATTAAACAGGATTCACTCCGACTGACTCTTGTAGTGTTGATAATCAGCCAAACAGTTTGATTATATCAGCTGTAGAATATAGAGAGGAGGAGTGTTTGGTGAAGGTATCGACAATAGACGTCTATCACATAAATACGATCACTCACACATTGCGTCTGTCTAGGAATATCTTTGACATTATGTCTTTTCCCTCAACAGTGGACCTTAGGAGAACATATGGGTTAGACAGTTATTCGAGGGTCAAGGCAGTTGGGACGGAGATAGGTGTAATGCAACAAAACACTTTCGGTACTAGAGACAGAATTCATCATATGAGTTTTTGGTTTTTATGCAGTCTAAATAGGAAGATGCATTAGTCATCATGTTTGTCACGGCAAGGTAAATATGGAATTGTAATCCACGTCTACCATAATACCTTTTCGAACGCTCTACTATGACCAAAACACTTTTGAACAATATTCACTCTGAATCTGTATCCAAGATATGTAAAACGGATGACGCGGCGGATGATTAGCCCCTGCACTATACACTCGTATGTATGTATGTATGTATGTATGTATGTATGTATGTATGTATGTATGTATGTATGTATGTATGTATGTATGTATGTATGTATGTATGTATGTATGTATGTATGTATGTATGTATGTATGTATGTATGTATGTATGTATGTATGTATGTATGTATGTATGCATGCATGTCATGTATGCATGTATGTATGTATGTATGTATGTATGTATGTATGTATGTATGTATGTATGTATGTATGTATGTATGTATGCATGCATGCATGTACACCAGAAATTATTGAGAATTTAAAGATTGTAAATGTACATTGTCCCAGTTAAAATTTCTATGCTGTAAGCAACAGTTCAACCTTCGCTCCGTTTGTTCAGGTTTCATGATCGGTGATGGAATTCCTCGACTTTTCTGCCAACCCATTGCATGCAGCTCAGTTCTAATTGTCTCCTTACAGACCGCCACAGTTCCTCTATCAATCATATCCAGCCTTAGGTTTTATAAACTTATAAAAACCCAGCCTTAGGTTTTTAGAAACAAGAATACCAAGCCGCCTCCTGTCACCGACAGTCAATTTTCTGGGCCTGGTGGTGCTCAATGCCATATCCATTTGCAATATTTTTCAAAACACGATAAACAGTGGACAAAGGGATGCCTGTTCTACTTGAAATCACTTTAGCTGATCTGATACTGATGTCGTCTGCTAGCAGGTAAACAAAGGGGAATTACTCTTCACAAACTAATGAAAAAGGATTAATGGATTTGTCTCTCTTGAATGAAACCAAGCACTTGACAGCTGGTCAAGGTTGTTTATACTAGAAATCCAATTAAACATATTCCAAAAATTATCAATAATGTCTGGTCATACTCTGTGTATGTATGTATGTATGTATGTGTGTGTGTGTGTGTGTGTGTGTGTGTGTGTGTGTGTGTATGTGTGTGCATGTGCATGCATGTATGCATGCATGTGTATGTATGTGTGTGTATGTATGTGTATGTGCGCGCGTGTGGGAATGTATACAAGAGGGATACTTGTTTCTTCCTTATGACACATTAGAAGTCCCGATTTTACTTATAGTTGAGATGCATCTTTTCACTTTACGAAAGTGTTAGCAACAAGATGAGTTTTGACAATTGTGCCAATAACTTACAGTGATGCTCACGGACCAGTGACACCAGCGTTAAACAAACCACATTCACAATTCACACACCAGTTAATACCACCTCGTAGAAGGGTTGAATGAGTCTCACATGGCGCTATTGCGCAATAGTGACATCTTTTGTTGTCGATGGTACACAGCCATAAAGTAATTTCAGCAAGTAAATTATCACAGCACGCTTTCTACGTGCCTCTAGTTTGCGAAAGACACATACTCATACTTATTTAACCGACTTTGCTCGACTGACTCAGGACATACCTAAATGTCCCCAACAAAAGATTTTCTATTACGCCATTACTTAAGTGTGAGGCTCAATACTTATACAATACCCTTACAATACAACATTCGACTATTCTATGGTTCAAATGATATATTTTTGTTTCGTCATTACCTCTAGCTCTGGAAAACATACACATATGAAACTATATCACACATTTGAACAAATACCTCATATAGTGACTTGTTACTACAAGAGGTTTCCATGAAGATACCAGTACCTCATATAGTGACTTGTTACTACAAGAGGTTTCCATGAAGATACCAATACCTCATAGTGACTTGTTACTACAAGAGGTTTCCATGCAGATATCAATACCTCATATAGTGACTTGTTACTACAAGAGGTTTCCATGAAGATACCAATACCTCATATAGTGACTTGTTACTACAAGAGGTTTCCATGAAGATATCAATACCTCATATAGTGACTTGTTACTACAAGAGGTTTCCATGAAGATATCAATACCTCATATAGTGACTTGTTACTACAAGAGGTTTCCATGAAGATATCAATACCTCATATAGTGACTTGTTACTACAAGAGGTTTCCATGAAGATATCAATACCTCATAGTGACTTGTTACTACAAGAGGTTTCCATGAAGATATCAATACCTCATATAGTGACTTGTTACTACAAGAGGTTTCCATGAAGATATCAATACCTCATATAGTGACTTGTTACTACAAGAGGTTTCCATGAAGATACCAATACCTCGTATATTGATGTGTTACTACAAGAGGTTACCATGAAGATGTCAATACCTAATATAGTGACCTGTTACTACAAGAGGTTTCCATGAAGATATCAATACCTCATATAGTGACTTGTTACTACAAGAGGTTTCCATGAAGATATCAATACCTCATATAGTGACTTGTTACTACAAGAGGTTTCCATGAAGATATCAATACCCCATATAGTGACTTGTTACTACAAGAGGTTTCCATGAAGATACTAATACCTCATAGTGACTTGTTACTACAAGAGGTCTCCATGAAGATATCAATACCCCATATAGTGACTTGTTACTACAAGAGGTTTCCATGAAGATACTAATACCTCATAGTGACTTGTTACTACAAGAGGTTTCCATGAAGATATCAATACCCCATATAGTGACTTGTTACTACAAGAGGTTTCCATGAAGATATCAATACCCCATATAGTGACTTGTTACTACAAGAGGTTTCCATGAAGATACTAATACCTCATAGTGACTTGTTACTACAAGAGGTTTCCATGAAGATATCAATACCCCATATAGTGACTTGTTACTACAAGAGGTTTCCATGAAGATATCAATACCTCATATAGTGACTTGTTACTACAAGAGGTTTCCATGAAGATATCAATACCCCATATAGTGACTTGTTACTACAAGAGGTTTCCATGAAGATATCAATACCTCATATAGTGACTTGTTACTACAAGAGGTTTCCATGAAGATATCAATACCCCATATAGTGACTTGTTACTACAAGAGGTTTCCATGAAGATACTAATACCCTCATAGTGACTTGTTACTACAAGAGGTCTCCATGAAGATATCAATACCCCCATATAGTGACTTGTTACTACAAGAGGTTTCCATGAAGATATCAATACCTCATATAGTGACTTGTTACTACAAGAGGTTTCCATGAAGATATCAATACCTCATATAGTGACTTGTTACTACAAGAGGTTTCCATGAAGATACTAATACCTCATAGTGACTTGTTACTACAAGAGGTCTCCATGAAGATATCAATACCCCATATAGTGACTTGTTACTACAAGAGGTTTCCACGAAGATACTAATACCTCATAGTGACTTGTTACTACAAGAGGTTTCCATGAAGATATCAATACCCCATATAGTGACTTGTTACTACAAGAGGTTTCCATGAAGATATCAATACCCCATATAGTGACTTGTTACTACAAGAGGTTTCCATGAAGATATCAATACCTCATATAGTGACTTGTTACTACAAGAGGTTTCCATGAAGATATCAATACCTCATATAGTGACTTGTTACTACAAGAGGTTTCCATGAAGATACTATGACACGTGCAAACTCTCACCTTTCAAAGAAACACAATCACCTGGTGAACACTAGCCGGACACTCTCATTGACCCCGACTCAATGATTCCTTATCACCTTGCTTAAAATCTTGACCGCTTGAAAACCAGACAGCACTTTATGGGGCAGCTGTGCTTCTTCAAATATGATAAAGATTCTTATCTGACTCACAACCCTCCCGGCCATTCAAACTCGATATCGTGACTGCCAAATACTTCCACTGAGTTCATTTGTATAATATTACCTACCTGCGTTATACAGTTAAACATGCACTCATGCGAATATTTACTGGGCGTATACATGCAAATTTCATGTAATCGGTAGAGTGCAGAGTGAGTGAGTGAGTGAGAGTGAGTGAGTGAGTGAGTGAGTGAGTGAGTGAGTGAGTGAGTGAGTGAGTGAGTGAGTGAGTGGCTGACATCCAGAAGTACTAACATATGGCACGTCGTCAACACGATGCACAAATACTCTCCTAGCATGTGACAGTTACTCAGAAATTCCACACCTCCTTTGTGTCAGTGGTGATTGTTATCAAAGAAAAAGGACTCACTTATCATTTTGGTAAGACACCAGGTGTCAGGACTGACGTTCATTCATCCCTGCACTTTTCTTAGTAGTTTTCCTTTTAACGCGGTATAGAATCTGCATAGGGAGATAGTGGAGACGTTCTCGGACGTTGACGTGGACGTCCAAATATTCACAAGTATTCTAGCAACATGACAACGGCGGCCACAGCGTGGCAGCAAATATATGCACGCTCCCCATCAACCACTTCTGTGTGGAGAAAGGAATATATGTCGGAATGAGATGTGAGTCAGTGAGTTTAGATTTGAGCCGCACTCAGCAATATTCCAGCTACATGGCGGCGGTCGAATGAGATGTGATATGGAGGTGTAACTATTGTGTGGGTGACGAACGTGATGGGTAGTAATGAATTTAATACATCAAAATGAAGAAAACGCAAATAAATAGTCTTTCAGAAAGAATTCATTGCACTCTTGTCCCAATACAATCTTCTTACTTAACCCACACAGAGTACATGTTCCGCAGATTTCCCGTGCAGGTGATGGAACCAATCACGAACTTCTTGGACCAGTTTATGACAAATCATGAAGGATCATGAAGAATCAGGCAAATGCTACATCATCACAGCAGGCAAGGGCTGTTACATCCGTGCACATAGGTCATGAAGTCGAAAGGTTAGGGGAAATTTAGGGAAACCTTAATATATAACGGATAGCCAAACAATATATTCACATTGCAGTGCTTAATTCAGAAATATTCATCAACGACTCGTGGGATGATGTGGAGTACTATATTAAATGTATACGGTATTTTTATCCCCCGCAACAACGAAGTTGCGGGGGATATAGAAACGAGTTCCGTCCGTCCGTCCGTCCGTCCGTCACACTTTGTCCGAAGCATATCTCCTAAACTATTCGTGAATGCTTAACCAAACTTGGTACACATGTCAACCATGATCCCTAGATGTGCATTTTGGGGGTCAGACCCAGATACGATTTTTAATTTTTGCGGTTTCCATGGAAATATGACTCAGGCTGTGACTATGAGGATGTCATCTTGTCCAGAACAGATCTCCCAAACTATACATGCCAGCTTCATCAAACTTGGTACATATGTCAAGCATGATCCCTGGATGTGCCTTTTGGGGTTAAGACCCAGATATGAGGTATATTTTTTGTGGTTTCCATGGAAACGTGGCTTAGGCTGAGGATGTCATCTTGTTGCATTTCCATGGCAACAAGTTAGGCTTCAACTGAATTTGGTGGTAGTGCTCCTCTCTGGAGCAGATCTTAAAAACCGTTCAATACTCTCCTTCCACTTTGCAGTATACACTCCAAAACATTTGACATAATCATAACTAGTAGTGATATTTATAAAGAGTATTTTGCCGTTGCTGGGGATATTGATGACTTTGTCTTCTTGTTATAAATTACTTCACATGGCCGACGACAGCTATCCTAAGTGATGTTTTAGTATGCCAGAAAATTGACACCTAGACATGACCTGTCAATTTGCTGGTTAATGTGCGTGGTTTCGGTTGTGTATGGATTATTCAGGATGCTCACTTTTTTAGGTCGTTCAAACAGAGGCTTGTAGATCATGAAAAGCAATGTATATTAAGTAAGAAAACTGATTTGTCACATATGTTGTATTACATTAGCATGAAATCGTTATTGGATGTTGAGTTGTATATACTGATGTTAAGTGATAAAGAATATAGGATTTCCTTAATGTTGAAATGTGAGATGTAAGGATGGTGACAGTATGAATACATTATGCAGAATGTGTAACAGCAAAAGTGTTGAAGGTGAATCGCATTCTGTCCTTGACAATAGTACACATATTACATGTGGAGATAGGTACCCCCAGAAGCTGGGTCTGTCTACAATACTCAAATACAAAAGACTATCAAATGGCAATGATGAGTGTGTAGTTGTTTTAAATTATGGAGAATTTATCGAACAGGGTGTTTGTGTATGAACCTCCAGTAATACCTAACCATCACATCTTGCTGTATCCTTGACAAATCGATCTTTTGATACATATTTGTACAAGGCCGATGGCAATAAAACGTGATTGAACTTAATTATTGTCAGATTTCTCAAACGTCTTAGCTTCATTTCTGCATGGTTGCAGTTTGGAATTGTTGTTTTCAAGAAGAGAAACACATATTTTCAGATATCTGAAGATGACATGGTGCTCAGGAAGACAGGTTTTAAAAATATCCACAGCAATATATTGGTTCGGTCTTCCTTGTGTACGTAACGACATTATCTTGGGTCTGGAGATCAGAGATGCTGTTCTGAATAATTTGTGCAGCCGTGTCAGACTATGCCAAGGGTTGATGATCAGAACCATAATCCATTGGTTAAATTACGACATGTACCATCATGTCACGCACTTCTCAGCTCATCATGCTAAGGGGATAGGTTCCCAACATTGGGGAACTGAGTGAAGCCGATGTTTAGTGTTCCCAGTTAGGGTCGCAGGATAAGAAAGGTTCTGTTTCCATTCAACCACCTTTCAACCATCCACATAACACACGAACAAAGTTTACAGTTATTTCACATATTGATAACCTCACAGAACGTTTTTATCCATCGCTAATCTTGTCATATTGACCCTTTGCACACCTTGTAGGTGAAAACCTATAATGTCTATGAAATCACAAAAACGTAAGCATATCCATATCAACATGGTTCTAGATACTGAACTCGTCCTGGTATATGGTATAACGCACTGACAAAACACCAGCCGGGTTAGAATATGGGATACTTCATTCAAACAAACATAGTTCCTTTGCCTGTCATAAATGGCTTTTGAATAAAGTTTGTGTTCATGACAGTAGCCCCGAAGCGACATTAGAACCGAGCTGAAGGCTTGCACCAGTACACCTGAAGGAGTGCCAGGTCACAGAAAGTGGGTTGCGACATACCTTCCGGTCATACCGCCTGTCTCGCCATAAAGGCCTTCTCCCACTGTGAGAAGGCGGGTTGTTAATTTTTGCTATGAAGATACTTATTCAGGTAGTGCACCACGTGTCATCATTGCCTTAGTGTGTATTACACGCAAATAAATACACCATTCATCGAAACAATATCCGCTCGTGTGATGCATGATCTACTTCAGTGTCTATTTGATGTGATGCATTTTCAAAATTAGTGGGCATAACAAACTATCAATGTCCTAAAGGAAATGTTTTTTCCTACCGACACTAAGAGGTATTTCATTTTCAGATATTGTTAATGAATTATAGGCGAACAGGCGACAACCCTGAACACACTCATGCCATATGATGGCGGTGAACACTGAACATGGATTCAGACATTGCAGGGAATCGGATATCGGTACCCCTTCACAATACGTACAAAAACATGATAATAATCAGATCTTACTTGACTGGACCGGAGGTATGCGTGAATGAAGCCGACAGATGACGTCAATTAGCTACTCCGATACGTGATACTTTCCGGCATGTCATCGGGACACTGCTAGAATACAATCCAGCTGGGTCAAGATTGACATTTATGCATGCTATCTGATCTGCGTTTGTACGTAAGCAGTTGTCACTCGACAACCAGATTGTGAAACCCTCTTCGGCCAGTTTAAATCTGATACACCTGAGTGATTAAATGGAGGCGGTATGGCGCGTTTGTGCTGCTAAATGTTCCCAGCGCGGCAATTTGATATACATAGGCCGTCTACTGATACATATACTCTCCCCAAAAAGAAACGCATATAGGAATTTCAACTGTATTTTTATGTTTATTTTGAAACATCTTGTAGGCTTTATGAGTCAATGAAATATAGCGAAATTGAACACTGGGAATGCAGACTTATCCGTCTTTGGTACCAACTCGAGGAAATGCAGTTTTAGTGTCACATGGAGACGTGTGGTGGCGCTGAAGTCAATACCTCGTGTGACCACCGTGGGCATCCAGAACTGCACGGTATCGCCTCGGCATCGAACGAATAAGTCTCAGAATCTCGTGTTGCCCAATCGCAGCCCACTCTGCCTGTAGTGCCTGTGCGAGTTGCTGAAGTGTCTGGGCCTGAGGGTTACGGCGTCGCACCCGTCTGTCAAGGGCATCCCACAGATGTTCGATCGGGTTTAATTCCGGTGATCTTGAGGGCCAGGAAGCACATTGATGTTGTGGTTCTGGAGGAAGTCTCTAGTGTGACGTGCTGTGTGGGGCCTGGCATTGTCCTGTTGAAACAACTCCCTCTGGCGATCAATGATTGGAAGGAGGTGTGGGCGTAGGATTTCGTCACAGTACCGTTGAGCTGTCAGGTTGCCCTGGAACATCACCAAATCACTTCTCCTACGGCAGGTGATCGCTCCCCACATCATAACACTTCCCTGGCCGAATTTGTCCTACTGGGGAACGCAAGCGTCGGCGAAACGTTCACGTCGACGTCTGTACACCCGCATTCTTCCATCGCGTCGTTCCAATAGAAATCGTGATTCTACGCCAATTAGGTAGGTCCCAGGCCTGAACGTTGGTGCACCATTGAACTCGATGTCGACGATGTTGTTATCGAAGCACAGGGCCAAAATAAGGTCTTTTGGAACGTAAACCAGCCTCTCTCAACCTGTTCCTCACGGTGTGTGTAGAAATCCTCCTCAATCCGGGTATTTGTCGAGCGGTACTGGTCGCCGTAGCTGTTCGATGACGCAGATTAAGTACCCGGATGTAGCGATCCTGC